GCTGCTTCAGCACGCAGGCTAGCCCCATTATGCATGTGCTGGCCAGGGTTTGTTTTTTCCGCATTGGTCCCCAAGCTGCCTATAATAAGTCTGGTAAATCTACGCCGTGGATTGCTTTTGGAGATGTGAACTTGAGCGTCCCAGCAGGCAGTGTTGTTTGGCAAGTTCACTGGGACATTGGTCCGCTTTGATAACGACGCTACAGCGTAAGTCCCGGCGAAAATCCGCGCGCAAGTGTTGCACTCGTGTTCCGTAGTCAAGAGCAGGCAACCCAATAAATGCCGGCCCTACGGGCATCCCAGCCTCGTTGCAGAGATGCTGGCAGAATTTCAGAGGCCAAATACTGCCTCGCGAGCACATGCAGACGCTAACAGAGCCCCAAGGGGCTAGCAGCATCCAAGATGTGGCACCAGGTCTGCCTCTCACAAGGGTGAGCAATGCCATCAATTCGCAAACGTGCAGAGCATTTCCTTGGATCTTGCCTGAGCGCGCGGTGCAATTGAAACGCTGCGGGGCATTACTTGGGGAGCCGGCAGCGTCCCAGACGAACGGTGGACTTTGCACATGCGCACCACCCGTAGCATTTTAAGCACATGACATTTTGTTCGGCGCCTTCGCGTGCTAGAAGCGCCTGGGTGCGTTGCTAGGCGCGTTCAGCGATTGAGCACACATTGCAGAGTATTTGCTTGATCCTGTTGAGCTGGCAAGGGCAGAGAACCAAAGTGCGCCAGGGTGTTGACGGTAGCATCGACGCATTGAGCGGTACGAAATCGTTGCGGCGGCGGCCTCCGAGACGCAGGGCGAGGCGGGCGGAGTGCAAACGGATGCAGGTTTTGCACTTGCCTGGACCTCTGACCCGAACAAAGAATGGGTCCATGACCCCAAAATAATTGGGTAATGAAGGGTCATGGAGACTCCAGGTACTGGCAAGCGATTCCATGTCTGCAACAGGTGATTTAAGCCCTAGATCTATGCAGTTGACTCTTTGGCGGTGGTTGCCCGAATAGCATTTACTGGCGGCAGGGCTGTTGGCGGCCGATGAATTTGCTACGGCTCCAGCGAAGCTGGTTCGACCTGCAAGGCTTGCGCAGGATTCCCAGACACTCCAATGTTGGTGCTATTTGCCAACATTCGCGAGCGTTGCCCTGAGAAGGAACATTAGGCTTTACAAGGCCAATGTTGCTTTGAGAGGCATACGTCCAAAATGTTGGTGTAATTCTCAAGCGAGCAACTCACGTTAAATCACGCCAAATCAAGGTAATGAATGTATCCCAACTTTGCATACATTTGGCCCGAATGTTTGCCAAACAGAGCAGGCGTTCCGGAACGTATGACGTTGTCGGATGCCGTGATTGGGTGTGATTGAGCGTGACTTGGCGTGATTTGGCGTGATTATCGGACTGAGAGGCCTTCAGTTGAACGTTAGTAGTATGACCAACATGCATGGATTGTGTGGGATTTGCCACAGCATTCGCTTCGGTCGTAAAGCCAGCAGGAGGCTCTCACACAACCTTTAACGACCATTCTCGGCCCCCACCATACGCTGCAAGAAGCGCGTTGTCAAACCGTGACAGGCAGCTTTGTTTGCAGGCTCGGACACCCATATATCATTTACGTTTTTTAAATCTGGCCGGCGATCCAACCAAGAAAGTTCATCAGGTACCCGAGCTGGCAAGCTAGCGCGTGGCCACCTTAGCATGCACTGGGGAAAGGCTGTTCGACTGCTGCTGACGATGAGTAAGATTTTCGGAGGATTTGCTGCAGCTTCCGAGAGCATCACTGGTGGTACTGAGCCAGCAGGAAGCACTCACGTGATGTCTAATGACCTTGTTCGGCCCCGCCCCACGCCGGGACACGCATATTGTCAATCTGTGATCAGCTTTGCTTGCCGGCTCAGCTATGGCCGATCCTCCATCTCGCACACACCCGTTTAGCCTTTACGTGGACCTTTCGAAATGCAGATTTTGGCATTAATGTGGCCGGATCAGCAGTGCCTCTGCCACTTTCAACTCCTGCTGATGGTGAGCAGCCTCAAGGAAGCTGACTGGGGCCGCAAGGCTTTTGCAGGATTTGCAACGGCTTGCCCCGGTTCAGAAGCCTTCCCATCCAACCGTGTCTGCAACAGCCCCTCGGAACAGTGTATTCAAGCCCTGTCATTGGATGTTTTCAGATTCGGATGGGTGTCCTTCTCAAATGCAAGAATGCAGCTATGCAAAGCATGCGCGTGAAGGACTTACTGCGAAAATAATGCCAACGTTGCCAGCGACCAGATTGGAATTGATGGGGGCAAAGCTGTTGGACTGTGGCCGATAAGTTTGTTCACGTTTGTCGCCTATACTTTTGTGAAAAAACATCACAGTTTGCAAAGCCAGCCGGAGGCACTCACGTGACCTGCAACGACCTTTCTCGGCCCCGCCATACAATGCTAGAAGCGCATTGTCAAATTGCGAGAGGCAGCCTTGCTTGCCGGCTCAACGTTGGTCGATTCTCTATGCACCACATGCGGAGACCTTGAGATAGGTGCGGATTTGGGCGTATGTGGAGTCTCGGAAGCCACCCAGCCAGCTCTGGGCTCAGCTCAGAATCAGGGTCGTCCAGGCAGTCAAGAACACTCTGATTTGAGCTCGAAGTACGACCAGCGCGCCAGGTGGGCGACTTCGGCCACTCTGCGCCTGCCTTCTGCCACTGGGGCGCGCTTTCGCAGGATTTGCAGCTGCGCCGGGAAGCCCATCCAACTTTCAGATGTCTTGGCAGCACAAGCCTTTCCATGTCTGCAACAGCCCCTCGGAACAACCTGTTCAAAACCCCGTCGCTGGATTCTCACAGATTCAGAGAAGGACTGTTCTCTGTGGGTACAGCATGCGCGTGAAAGACCCCCCCCCAACAGGAATGTCCACCTTTCCAGCTTGTGGCCGGATTAGAATTGAGTGGGGTAAGGCTGTTGGAAGATCTGGTTTTTGCAGGATTTGCCACAGCATTGGCGTCGGTCGCAAAGCCAGGGCTCTCACATGACCTTTAACGACCTTTCTCGGTCCCGCCATGCGCTGTAGCGCCTTGTCAAACTGTGAGAGTCAGCTAATGCTGGTCATTCTCCATGTACTTGTACACGTGTGCGAAGACCTCTTGAGGTGCAAATTGGGCATATGTCAGCTCGGGTACCCGACCTTGGCCAGATTCGCATGGTGCTACCGCCCCTGCTGACGATGAGTAAGGCTTGCGCAGGATGTGCCGCGGCACTTGCTGTGAGCATATCACGGGTCGCAACGCCTGCAGCAGGCATGCTTACGTAACCTTCAGCAATGTTTGCCCTCCTTGATACGCTTGGAACGGGGTTGTGCGAGCTAAAAGCTGGGCGCTTGGTTGAGTGGCAGAATTGTGCCCAAAATGGGAGGCTACTATTAGAACTGCGCAAGCTAGCGCGTGGCCAGCTTAGCAAGCATGCGCTGGGGTAAGGCTGTCGGACTGCCGATAAATCTGCTACCGCCCCTGCTGAGGATGAGTAAAGCTTGTGCAGGGTTTGACGCGGCGCTTGCTGCGAGCGTATCACGGATCGTAAAGCCTGCAGCAGGCTCTCACGTGACCTTCAGCGAAGAGCTTTCCGACCCCTGGCAAGGCTGTTTGCCCTCCTTGATTCGCTTGGAACATGTGGGCAGCGCTAGAAGCTCTCATTCCAGAAAACCAAACTCAACTTTTGGGCGAAGTTGAACTGTTTGGGCATATTTGGAGTCGGTTCGGGAGCGAGCGCGTGGCTGGATCTGCAGTGGCTCTGCCAATTATGGCTTCTGCTGATGCGTAGCCTCAAGCGAAGCTGACTGGGGCCGCAAGAGTCCTTCTGCTCCACAGATTCCTTCCTGTGCCTCAGCTGCTCGCGCTGCCGATGATGAGCAGCCTCAAGCGAAGCTGACTGGGGCCGCAAGGCTGTCGGAGGATTTGCAACGGCAACGGCGTTCTTCTGCAAAAGTGCGCGTTGTGCCGGTTCAGAAGCCCATCCAATGTTCGCCAGGCTTGGCAGCCGCGCAAGCCTTTCCATGTCCGCACCAGGTGAGTTAAGCCTCAGATCCATGCACTGCTGTTTCGGAAGTGGTTTATCATCTGGCCCAGCGGCATTCGCGTAGACGTGCACTTCAATCTTCCCAGACCAGGTCATAGCTGCGCAACTCAAAATGAAGCGAAGCGTGGGTCCATGTGCTTGGCTCTCACAGAGATTACCTGTCTGCTCCAGCGACGATGATATGCCTCAGGTGAGGGTGACAGGATTTGCCGCACCGCTTTCCAAGGGTGGTGTTAGGCGAGCAGGAATCACTCGCTTGACCTTTAACGACTTTTCTCCGCCCCGCCACACACCGCTGGAGGTTCAGATTGTCAATATGTGAGCAGTTTTGCTTGCCGGCTCAATGGCCGATCCATCTCTGTGGCCGATAAGTTTGTTCACGTTTGTCGCTGTGCTTTTGTGAGAGAGCATTGCAGGTTGCAAAGCCAGCAGGAGGCACTCACGTGACCTGTAACGACCTTTCTCGGCCTCGCCACACACTGCTAGAAGCGCATTGTCAAACTGTGAGAGGCAGCTTTGCTTGCCAGCTCAATGTTGTTCGATTCTCCATGCACTCTACAGTGCGTAGACTCTCGAGGTGCAGATTAGCATTGCGGCGGATAAATCTGCGACGGCCGCCAATGATGAGCAGCTTCCAGCGAAGCTGATTGGACCTGCAAGGCTTGCGCGGCATTGACTTCGAGCATGCCATGGGTCGTAAAGCTTGCAGCAGGCACTCACGCGACCTTCAGCAAGCAAATGCTTTTGCAGGCCCTTGCCCTCCTTGAGTTGGGCGCTTGGCTGAGAGGCTGCTCTGGCTTAGCGGTCGTGACTGCGCAACTATACATGCAATTGGGGCCATTGCGACCCGCGCTGCGGCTGAGGCTCAATGTTGGCCGATCGGACACACCCTTATTCTGTGTACGTGGACCTCTTGAATTGGGCAGACTTGGAGTAGGTTTGGGAACACATGCTGGCAAGCCAGCGCGTGGCTGGATCTGCAGTGACTCTGCCAATTACGGCTTCTGCTGATGAGCAGCCCCAAGCGAAGCCGACTGGGGCCGCAAGGCTTTCGCAGGAATTGCAACCGCGTTGCTTAGCAAAAGTGCGCATTGCGCCAGTTCAGAAGCCCATCCAACTTTCGCAAGGCTTGACATCCGCGCAAGCCTTTTCATGTCTGCAACAGGTGAATTCGGGGTGGTTTATCATCTGGTCCAGCGGCATGCGCGTAGACGTGCACTTCAATCTTCCCAGACCAGGTCAGCGCCGATGATATGCCTCAGGTTCAGGTGAGGGTGACAGGATTTGCCGCAGCGCTTTTTGAGGGTGGTGTTAGGCGAGCAGGAAGCACTCACGTGACCTGCAAGGACCTTTCTCGGCCCCGCAATAGGCTGATAGAAGCGCATTGTCAAACTGCGAGAGGCAGCTTTGCTTGCCGGCTCAATGCTGGTCGATTCTCCATGCACTCGTACACGTGCCGAGGCCTCTCGAGGTGCAGATTTGGAAGTATGTGGAGTCAGCTCGGGCACCCGAGCTGGCAAGCCCCGTGGCGCCTGCTGCCTTCTGCCAGCGCTGGCCGGCTCTCAACATGCAGGGCTCTGCGCGCTAGAAGCTGGGCGCTTGGTTGAGTGGCAGAATTGTGCCAGCGAAGCGCTTTCCGACCCCTGGCAAGGCTGTGTGCCCTCCTTCATTCGCTTGGAACATGTGAGCACTGCTGTCCTCGCAAGATGCAGGGTGCGCGCTAGAAGCCGGGCGCTTGGGCTGTCCTCGCAAGATGCAGGGTGCGCGCTAGAAGCCGGGCACTTGGTTGAGTGGCAGATTTCCAACACGGCAGCTTTGGCCTGGTGCCCAAAATGGGAGGCCACGGTCATAACTGCGCAACTCAGAATGGAACATGGGTCCATGTGCATGGCTCACAGATGTTACCTGTCTGAATTTCGCAAATTCTAGGCCACGAAATATTGACTTCGGCTCTGGAATGTGGTGGAGTTTCTGACAGGCGAGACTTGTAGACCGAACCCCTCGTTCTCCACGTCCCAACTCGTTGCTTCCAGGGCACCCTTTGCACAACTCTTCCGCAGGGTCCAGTGTTGCTACAAGTGTGGGCCCTTCAGACCCTGCCCCGGCATAAGTTTCCCGAACACAAAGAAACAACGACGCAACGATGGCAAGCGAACCGCTGCTTGAGCACGGAGGCTAGCCCCATTGTGCATGTGCTGGCCAGAATTTGTTTCTTCCGCCTTGGCCCCCAAGCTGCCTATAATAAGTCCGGTAATTCTACTGAGTTGATTTCTGGAGAGGCTGCGTATGTCTCGGCGAAAATCCGCTCGCAGGCGTCGAACGTGAAGAGCAGGCAGCCCAATAAATGCCAGCCCTAAGGGGCATCCCAGCCTCGTTGCAGAGATGCTGGCAGAATCCCAGAGACATTGCCAAATATTGCCGCGCGAGCACATGCACATGCTAATTGCCGGTAGCATCCCAGACGCATTGATTGGTGTAATTATCTTGACATCATCGGCTCTGCCCCAGCGGCAGCCTCCTTGACGCATCGCGAGGCGGGCGTTGGAGTGCAAAGCGCGGGCAGCCTCGCACATGCGCTGCTGACCTCGAACGCGCGAGGGACTTGCATTTGCATTTGACAAAGTCAATGCATTGTAGCTCTCGTGCAGCCGCATGCCACTGCACTGGTGAACACTGCAGTTGGCACTCGCGGCCCAGGGAACGTGTCTCACCTTGCAGATGGCAGCTTCAGAGAAACAGCGCGCGCGGTCTTGCTTTCCCAATCTTTCCAGCTGTTTTTTGGTCATTGGCCACACTTTTTTGGGTCACGGCAAGCAGCTATGAGCCCCGTGTGTAGCTTCAATGCAGAATGTTTTTTTCTTTTCCAGCGTGTAATGTTGGACTCTGTTTAGTGTGACCCCCCCCCCCCCCCCTGGAACAGTGGAACCAGTCGGCGGGACTCTCTTTAGGGAGATCCTGGAGGGACAGTACTTACTTTAGTATTGCCAATTCTACTTTAGTATTGCCAAGGCCCCCTCTCAGATTCCCAGTACTGACTTTAGTATTGCCAATTCTACTTTAGTATTGCCAAGCCCCCTCTCAGATTCCCAGTACTGACTTTAGTATTGCCAATTCTACTTTAGTATTGCCAAGGCCCCCTCTCAGATTCCCAGTACTGACTTTAGTATTGCCAATTCTACTTTAGTATTGCCAAGGCCCCCTCTCAGATTCCCAGTACTGACTTTAGTGTTGCCAATTCTACTTTAGTATTGCCAAGGCCCCCTCTCAGATTCCCAGTACTGACTTTAGTGTTGCCAATTCTACTTTAGTATTGCCAAGGCCCCCTCTCAGATTTCCAGTGCTTGCAAATGGTTGAGATGAGCTGTCCCCTTAGCCATTTTCTTGCTCTTGCTTTTGCTTAGCTCCAGCCCGTGTTCACTTTCTGCTGGCTAAGTGTCTCAGCTGCATTTATTTAGCTTGATTTTAGCTTAATTAGCAATCCCTCAGCCCAGGCCATGAAGCAGCACCTCAAGAGCGTGGTCTTCATCAGCTTCCTGTTGCTGAGTGGCATCATTGCTCAGAGCCACTGTGCTGCAATAGAGGGGGGGGGGGTGCTTGATTTTTTCCTGAGAGGGTTTTGTCTGGGAGTGGCTTTCTGAGAGTGGCTTTTGCTTCTAAGGTGCAAATCTTGGCAGCCCTCATCCTGAGCATCTTGCTCAGGAAGCTGCTGAGAGGCTTGGCTGACCACCTTTGGTGGCTGGAGCGCCAGGCCTGGGGTGAGCACTTTGGTTTTTGTTTTTGAGGGGGGTGAGTTGTCAGGCCCATCAACTCAGCCACATCTCTGAGAAGCTGAGCATGATTGAGAGGCGCCCTTCAGCTGCAACATACTTAAGCTAAGCAGCTCCTGAGCTCATGAAGTGTTTTGTTTGAGACCTGAGGCCAAGACACAGCAGCAGGTGACCTGTGGGATGTCCACAGGCACCTGTCCCAATCTCTGATGGACTTCTCACCTGAGGCTTTGAGCACTTAGTTGGACTGAATTGAGTCTAAGTTGTGCTCAGGGGGGAGGCTCAGTCATCTTCCAGGACATGGTGCTGAGGCAGAGGGCCAGCCTTCTCAGAGGTTGGCACTTCAGTGTTCCAGACTCTTGGGCTAAACCTTAGGGTTTGCACTCTGAGGGGTTGTGCTGAGTTATGTTGATCTCAGGAGTTTGAGGCTGAGTGGGATGTCGTGGTGATGGCCAGCATCCTGAGTGTCCAAAGCAACCAATTCTATGAACGGTTGCTAAATGCATCTAAGCAGCAACTAAGTAAAACAAAGGGCTTGAAAGTACTTGGATTAAGCTTTCTTTTCCTGAGGCCTTGGATGGCATAGATGATGGGGACTTCATGCAGGAGCACCTCAGAATCCTGACCAACACAGTGAGGCCTGAGCTCAAACACCTGATGTTCTCTGAGTCTTGGCTTAAATATTCTTAGCATTGCCTCAGCAGGTAACGATGAAGTTTGAACAATGGGTTTGATCTAAGGACCACACTTTGGAACAAAGGATCTCTCAGCTTCATAAGCTGAGCATTGCAGGGCATCTGGCACAGGCTCAGATCACAAGGCTTGAGTCTCTTTCCAAGAAAGCTTCTCAGTGGCATGTGTTAAGATCCTTTGCACATTGGTTAGGCTTGGCCTTTGCACATTGACCTAAGGTTGAAGCCCTGAGCATGGATGCCAAGCAGATTCTCTTCATTCCAGAGGAGCCCAACAAGCTCGATGAGTGGCTGACCAAGAAGGAGGCCCCTTAGCATGAATTGCTTGAGGCCTCACTGGCTTAGAACTGCATGGGCATCTAAGGTGGAAGGCCTGAGCACTTGCGCAGAGCAACCTGCACAGAGCACTTGCGTGCAGCAGCGTGCAGAGAGCAACTTGCCCGAAAGCAGCCTGGAACAATGCAGCTTGCGCAGACCACTTTCGTGAGAAATCGTGTAGCGTAACTTGAGCAAAGCACATTGCGCTGAGCAGACTTGCAGCAGAGCCACGCTTCACAGAGCCAAGTTGCGCAGAGCCACTCGCGTAAAGTAGCTTGCGCGCGCCAGGTAGCAGCGCTCCAAGTTGCGCAGAGCCATCTTGCGCAGAGCTAAGGTACACGAGCCTGCTTTGCAGAAACATACGCTTTCACGACATAGCGATTTTTGTGTCTGACTCGGGCAGGAGCCGGTTGCTATTGGCTTGTTTCTTTTTGTAGAGCCAAGTTACATAGAGCCAAGTTACATAGAGCCAAGTTACATAGAGCCAAGTTACATAGAGCCAAGATACATAGAGCCAAGTTACATAGAGCCAAGTTACATAGAGCCAAGTTACATAGAGCCAAGTTACATAGAGATAGAGCCAAGTTACATAGAGCCAAGTTACATAGAGCCAAGTTACATAGAGCCAAGTTACATAGAGCCAAGTTACATAGAGCCAAGTTACATAGAGCCAAGTTACATAGAGCCAAGTTACATAGAAGTTACATAGAGCCAAGTTACATAGAGCCAAGTTACATAGAGCCAAGTTACATAGAGCCAAGTTACATAGAGCCAAGTTACATAGAGCCAAGTTGCATAGAGCCAAGTTGCACAGAGCCAAGTTGCACAGAGCCAAGTTACATAGCGCCAAGTTACATAGCGCCAAGTTACATAGAGCCAAGTTACATAGAGCCGCTGTTGCATCGATGTAAAAGGGCGTCTCCGCGGCTGGAAAAGCACATGAAGGGAAGCGCTTGGGGGAAAATGCTTTCGGGCCAATCGTCCTCTAGTTTTTTGATGTGCCCTTGCACTTTGTGCTCACCTTTGATTGGTGATGGCGGCCATCACATTGTGTGCCTGTGTGGACAGCGGTTTTTTCGTGCTGGGTGCAAATACCCCCATGGCCTGGGTCTTGTAGGTGCATTGGGATAGGTAGTGGCTCCGAGGTTTCTCCTTGAGCTTGCATTTGTGTTTTACAAGGAGTGACGTCCTCCATGGAGGACATCACCCGTAGCTGAGGCACAGTGCTGTCTGGTGGTTGTGTCCCTCTGTACAGGGGTGAACATAGGTTCCTGCTGCATTCCGCTGGTGAAGTATGATAAGTCACCCAGATTTCCAGCCAGGTCGGCCGGATAACCTCTAACCCTAACCTCTAACCCCAACCTCTAACCCTAACCGGGATGGATGATGATGATGAAAGACTACGGGAAGATGTAAGATGACGGGAAGCTGACAGAAGACTACGGGAAGATGACGGAAGACTGTGGGAGATGACGGAAGACTACGGGAAGATGACGGAAGACTACGGGAAGCTGCCGGGAAGATGACGGAAGAGTGCGGGAAGATGACGGAAGACTACGGGAAGATGACGGAAGACTACATGAAGAGGACGGAAGACTACGGTGAAGATCATGGAAGCTGACGAAGACTGCAGGAAGATGACGGAAGACTACGGTGAAGATGACGGAAGACTACACCAAGATGACGGAAGACTACGGGAAGATTACGGAAGATGACGGAGGACTGCGGGAAGATGACGGTATACGGGAAGATGACGGACAACTACGAGAAGATGACGGAAGACTACGGGAAGATGACGGGAAGCTGACAGAAGACTACGGGAAGAAGATGACGGAAGACTACGGGAAAACGACCCTAACCCCCAACCTTTGCCCCTAACCTCTAACCCTAACCCCTATAACCTCCTCTAACCTTAACCTCTAACCGTGCGGATGGATGATGATGATGATGAAAGACTACGGGAAGATGACGGAAGACTACGGTAAGATAACGGGAAAGGTGACAGAAGACTACGGGAAGATGGCGGAAGACTGTGGGAGATGACGGAAAACTACGGGAAGATGACGGAAGACTACGGGAAGATTACGGAAGATGACGGAGGACTGCGGGAAGATGACGGAAGACTACGGGAACATGACGGACAACTACGGGA